AATTTGTTTGCCAGCTGTCGAATTTCCACCATTTCACTTTCACACTCACTGTCATACTCTCCATCAGCTGTTCTTACCTCTTCTTTTTCTAACTCTATCAATTTCTTCATGACGACTGGATTAATCTAATCATCTATATTAAGGCCTTTCCAGATCTCTGGTATTTTATCATATTTTTCCAATGAATTCATTAAATCCCAGTACTTTTGAAGATCCAAAATATAATCATCTCCCATTTCCAGCTCAAGATCTTGTTCCCTTCTCTTCTTGGGCTCCTCAATTTCCATCCTCCTCTCTCACGCCACCACTCCTCCTGGGATGAAATGGGGCTGCTCCTTGTCATTTCTCCTGTTGGATGCAATTGGTTCAGCACCTCATTTGCTTTGTTTCCCTTCATTCTGGTTTCCACTTGGTGAGCCAACAGCCTATCACAAGCCTCTTTTTCAACTTTAATTATACCTTCCTCAATCAGGGTGCTGGTCTCTATTACAGGGAATCTTTCAGACTGCAAGTCTGTAAATATTTTCGGATCATCTTCAGAAAGTTCACCTATTCTCTTCACATCACATTTGTTTGCTACAACTATAAGAGGCTTGTTGGTAAAGAGAGGCCTGATATTCTGGAAGAGCTCCAGCTGTTCCTTCAACCCATGTCCGCGCTGCTCAGACAAATCCATCATGTACAGAATGACAGTGCGTAGGTGCACCAGGGCCATGACGGCCTGCATCTCAGTGGTGCTGCAATCCTCCAGAAGGTGGTCCAGAATCCCCGGAGTGCCTACAACCTGCCAACACAGAGACTTACAGTCCATGTGCCCAAAAAATAGCGACTTGGTCATGAATGCGTAGGGCTGCATGTCCACGTCTGCTCTTGTCACCTTACTGATGAAGCTGGATTTCCCAACATTTGGGTACCCACACAAAAGCAGAGTCCTCATATTTGGATCAATGGTTGGCAAATGGGACAAATGCTCACACATTTGTTCCAAATATTCCACACTCTGCTTCTGTCTCTTGATAGTGCACATCCACCCCAGGGCAGCCCACTTCAGCTACTAAGCAGCTCAACACTCCTGGTACCAGTTTTCTGTATTAGTCCGTTTCTGTTGCTTATAACACAATATCTGGGCTGGGTAGTTTGTAAGAAAATGAAATTTACTGCATACAGTTTCAGAGGCTGGATGTCTAGAGTCCAGTGAACACATTTGGTGAAGGCCTTGGTGATGGCGACAGTGACCCAGGGGTCTCACATGGCAGAACATGGCAAAGCAAAGAGAGTAACCTCTCATGTGATCATCTTTTATAGCCCTCAGAACCACACCCCTGACCATCATTATTAATCCATTCACTACTGCATGGTCCTACAATCTACTTCTTCAAGGCCCCAGCTTTCAATAACCATGATTGGATTTCCCACCCTCAACAGTTACAGTGGGGATTAAGCCTCAATGAGGTTGGGGGGTGTGTGTGGTTAGCCAATCTATAGCATTCTGACCCTGACTCCCAAAACTTATGTCCTTTTCACATACCAATACATTCATTTTGTCTTCAAAGTCTTGTTTCAACTCAAAAGTCCAGAGTTCAAAGTCGCATCTGTGAAATCAAAACAAGTTATCTACTTCCAAGATACAGTGGTGGGATGACAAGCATAGGGCACATATTCCCATTCAAAACAGGAGAAATAGGCCAAAAGAAAGGTGTAATAGGACCTAAGCAAGTCCAAACCCCAGCAGAGCAGACATTAAATCTTACAGCTGGCATATCATGTACCTTGACTCCATGTTCAATGTCCTTTGCATGCTGGTGTGGGGGTTGGGTCCCCAAGTCCTCAGGCAGCTCTGCTCCTATGGCTTTCCTGGTCTCAGGAAATACTTCAGCTCTCCAAGGCTGGCATTGTACACTGGTAGCTCCACAATTTTGGGGTCTCCATGGTGGTCCCACTCCCACAGCTCCACTAGGCATGGCGCTGATGGGATTTTTCTGCTGCAACTTTGACCCCATGTTTCCGCTTGGCATTGCTCTAGTGAAGACTGTCTGCAGTGACTCCACCCCTGTGACAGATTTTTTCCTGGGCCCCCAGGCTTTTACATACATACTTTGAAATCAAGATAGGGACTCCCAATCTTTCACAGCTCTGGCATTCTGTGAGCCTGCAGACCTAACATCATGTGCATGCCACCAAGGCTTCTGGCTTGTATTTTCCAAAGCTGTGGTCCAGCTATGCCTGTGGCCAATTTAGCCAAGGTTGGGGCAGCCAAAGCTGCCAGGGTGCTGGTGTGGTGAGCAGCATCCCAAGGTGGCCCTTGGCAGCCAGCCCGTGGATGGTGCCTCAGGCCTGTTCCCCAAGACCATTTGGTCTCCGTAGGCCTCTGGGCCTGCAATGGAAGACACAGATTCTAAGATCTCTGAAATGCCTTCAGGTCTTTTTCCTTCTCTTCATAATCCTTTTCTCCTGCACTACCCTCCTTAGCAAATGGTTGCTGGGCTGTGCCATCACATTTTTCTCCTGAAAATGCTCTCTGCTTCTCTACCACATGGCCCAACTGCAAATTTTCTAAATCTTTACACTCTGCTTCCCTATTAAGTTCTGGCTTTATGTCATGCCTTTGCTGTCATAACCCAGCGTAGGCTGTTACAAGTAGCCATGCAGCTTCCTTAATGCTTTGCTGCTTAGAAATTTCTTCCACCAAATACTCTTGTTCAGCACCTTGAAGTTCCACATTCCATAAAACATTTCAGCATAAAGAGAATGCAGCCAAGTTCCTTGCCAGTTCATAGCAAGGGTGATCTTTGCCCCAGTTCCCCATAAGTCTCTTCTCATTTACATCTGAGATCTTCTCAGAATGGCCTCCACTGTCCACATTTCTAACAGCATCCTGCTCACCACCGTTTGACCAGTCTCTAAAACATTCCAAACTTTCCCTGGTTTTCTTGTCTTCTAAACTTTCACCAGCTTCTAGGCTTTTTCTACCCTGTTAGCCTCTTCTCAACACCCAGTTCCAAAGCTGCTTCCACATTTTCAAGTATTTGTTATAAATGACACCCTACTTCCCTAGTACCAATTTTCTGTATTAGTCTGTTTCTGTTGCTTATAACAAATACACAGAACTGGGTAATTTGTAAGAAAATGAAATTATTGCTTACAGTTTTGGAGGCTGGGAAGTCCAAAGTCCAGGGAACACATTTGGTAAAAGCCCTTGGTGGTGGTGACCCCAGGGGTCTCTCTTGGCAGAAAATGGTGGAGCAGAGAGAGTAAACTCTCACATGCTCTCCTTTTAAAGCCATCAGAACCACACCCCTGACCACCATTATTGATTCATTCACTACTGCAGGGTCCTACAATCTAACCACCTCTTCAAGGTTCCACCTTTCAATGACCATAATAATATTTCCTCAACAGTTATAGTTGGATTTGAGCTTCAGTGAGGTTGGGGGGCATCCAACCTACAGCATCCAGTTCCTATTTGGTGATATTATTTCTTAGTCTTTATTAATGAAATCTGTTTGAGTAGATTTTCTTAGCTGGAACTGAAAGAACCCTATTCTGCCTAAGGCTTCTGGTGCTCACTCTTCTTAATAATAATGATATAATTATACACGCCTATTCCACCCACCCTTCCCATACCAAGATCATGATGATATAATTATTAAGAAGAGTGAACACCAGTGGCCTTAGGCAGAATAATGAAATGGCATCCCAAGGAAAGAATCGGAAGGTGGGTAGAGCAAAACAGCATGAGCAGCAGCTGAAAGGGATGAGTAGACGGGTTTTACCTTCCTGGGGATTCTCACCCCCTAGAAGGGGTTGAGTTTCTACAGGAGGCTGGGGATAGGGTAGGAAGGGGGAAGATTCAGTAAGATGATCAAGCTAGTGAAAGCGAGATCTAGCTGACTGTGTACGCTCATTCGTATTCACATTCAGGGATAACCCTATTTAAAATATTTTGAATTAGGTATCCATACCTACTGTCAGGAAGGTACTGTAAGGTGCTAAGAAACTGAGGACATAGATGAAAACAATTGTTAGAGAAGCTGACACACACACAAATAACTGATGAAAATATGAGAATAGCTATAAATGATAAAAACAAAATACTGTGTGGCACAGGTAAAGTTTACTCCAGCTGAGGAGAACAGGAAGGCTTTCTGGAGGCAGGATGGCATTTGAGGTGGATCTTAATAGGTAGACATGATCTTGCTAGGGGAAGAATGGATAGAATGGGCGTGTCAGTAGCAGAAGCAATGGAAATAAAAAGATGGAGGCAGGAAAATTCAGGCTGGTTTTAGGGAAAGCAAGTCGTCTTTTGTGTGGAGTTGAGGGAGCATGAGAATGAACAGCTGCAGAAGCCTAGAAAGGTAGAGTAAGGACAGATTGTGGAAAGCCTTGAACTCTAGGTTGCGTTTAGGCTTCACTTAGTTGTCAAAATGTAGACAATGATGGTTACACAACACTGTGAATGTACTCAATGCCCCTGAATTGTACACTTGAAAATGGTAAATGGAAATACTGAAGTTTTGTTCCGTTTTAATGTAGTCGCTTTCTTAAAAAAAAATCAAAAGACAGAACTTTGTTAGTCACACTAGAGAGACTCATCCTAGCTTTTAACTAGACGTTACCATCACCGCATAGGTCATGGCAGTGTATTCAAGTTTTAGACAAAAAACCCAGGAAAAATATATCATTGGTGCCAGCCTTAGAAAGTGATACCTATAAAGTGCCATAAAGAGGATAAGTTGGATGCAGTGACCCCTTGCTCCTTTCCTTTTTCCTGAATACAGATAAGAGACTACTCATTATAGATCTGTATTTTACAATATATGACTTGTAACATGGGAGATTATTTTAGGTGACTATACATTTTTCTTAATTTTAATAGTTAGGCATTTATTTTAAAGGCATTAGAATAAATGTAACTTACAAACTGTATTGGTTAATATATAAACTTGGCTGCTCTACCAGGGACCCAAAATTATAGTGTCTGAAATAGAAATTTCTCTCAGTCCAGGGAGGTGGACCAGGGCTAGAAGAGCACTTCCACGGTCATCAGAGACCCAGGCTTCTTCATCTGGTTGCTCTGCCACCCTTGACACAAGTCTCCTGTCTCATGGTCCAAGATGGCTGTTCAGCACCAAGCATCATGTTTTCATTCTAACCAGCAGGGAAGGAGGAAAAGAGGAAGGGAAAGGTACGGACCCTCCCTTTAAGAGCACATTCAGAAGTAGCATAAGTCATTGTGCTCACACACTGTTGGCCAAAACTTAGTCACATATCCACAACTGGCTGCAAAGCAGTCTGAGAAATATAATTTTTAGCAGGATGATCATATGCCAGATAAAAATTCTCTTATTGCAGAAGGAGAGTTACAGAAATTGAGGGACTGGCTGGTTAGCTCACTCAGTAGAGCATGGTGCTGATAACACCAAGGTCAAGTGTTTGGATCCCTGCCAGCTGGCAAAAAAAAAAAAAAGTGTGGGGGGAACAATTAGCAGATTTTGCCATACACATAAAATCCATATTTTTATTGCTGTTATTGTCAATTTCTCCATTAATATAAAGTTTCATTAAAAAAAAATTGAAACAATTGATTGTACATATCTGTGATACAGCATTGACTATCAACACCTGTGTGCCATACATAATGATCAAATCAGGATAATAAATTTTCTTTTTTTTTTTTGTCTTTTTTCGTGTCCGGCAACGGATTGCAACCCTCAGTGTCGCGCCCGTACCGGACTGGGACCGGCAACGGGATCGCAACCCTCCGTGTCGCACCCGCACCTCGCTCAGCCAGTGAGCGGGAACCGGTCTGTATGTGGGATCCGAACCCTCGGTGGGAGCACCACCGCGCTCCCAAGTGGCGCACTGTAGCAGTGCGCCACTGGGCCGGCCCTAAATTTTCACTTTAAAGGGATTTAACTTTAGATCTTCTGGTCAAGATGGCAAAATAGACGGTCCCCATTGTCACTCTTTCCCACAAATCAACATAAAAAGGCAACGACAGCCAAGTTCGGGCCAGTAGAGCTCAGGGGAAGAGGAGGAGAGATCTACGGGGGTGTACAAAGGTGGGAGGAGCCACAATGAGAAAGAAAACACTCTGACTGTTTCAAATCCCAGTCATTTTCAGGCTGGAGCTGCTGAGCACATGGAGCAGAAGCTGGCAGAATCTGCAGCTGTGCCCTTCAGATGGAGTTATTCGGAGGCAGCAGGGGAGAAGAGGACCTTGGTGGCCACCAGGAGAGCAAGACCACTAATAGGGTTCCTGTGGACCCACCTAGGAGTGAGGAGCCAAAACAGCTAAAATAAAGGAGCCACTCAGAGGCCAGTGAGTCATCACAAGGAACTGGAACATGACCTGCCCATGGGAAGTGTTTGGAGCATGGGTGGTGGGGCAGGTGGGCCCACCAGGGGTACACTGGGGCACAGCAAGGACAGCTGATCCGCCCCCCAATCAGCACAGGACCACTCAGAGGAGACTGGTGAGGAATATAGAATTGCATGAGGTATAGTTTGATGAAAAGACTCAGGTCCAGATCAGAGTTTCTACACAACCCAGGTGCTCTGGATTTCACTAGAACTGGAAGTACCTATAAAGTCAACCATTAAAACCTGAGCTGCACAAAAAGCCTTCCCTAGGGAATCAGCAGCAAAGCAGCAATTTAGCTCAACCACAGAGTTCAAGTGCTGGTCCCCACAGGAAGTTCCCCCATTTTATTTATTTATTTTGGGGGGTGGCTGGCTGGTATGCGGAACTGAACCCTTGACCTTGCTGTTACAAGGCTGTGCTCTAACCAACTGAGCTAAACTGCCAGCCCCCCCCCCATTTTAGAAGTAAGCAAAGGACAACAAATTAGTTCCAGCACAAAGTCTAAGTGGTGGGAACAGCAAATAATCCACACAGAACTGAAAGAAAAAAGTACCCACAACCAGAGACAAAGTTTGATATTGACTAGTAAAGGTCTCATTTCACCAAAGAACACCTATAACACCTAGAAGTCCCCTGGGATACCAAGTAGGAAAGGGGAGAGGGCTGGGGGCCTCAGCCATGCCCCCCCAAACCCACGGGTGGGGGCTGAGGGCCTTGGGCATACCCCTCTGACAAGCACAACCACTCCAGTGACAACCACTGAGCTACTGCAGGAAGCACCCTGGGCTCTCCCAAGGCAGGGTGGTGGGGGGCCTCAGGCCTTGGTCATGCCCCCGCAACATGAACAACCAGCCCAGAGATGACCACCAAGCTGTCACAGGAAGTGCCCAGGGCTTTCCCAAGCCAGGGCAGTTGGAGGCCAAGGGCCTTGGCTCTGCTCCCCCACACCCAGAGCCAACTCAGCAATGACCAAGCTGCAGCAGGAAGCACCTCAGGCTCTCCCAAGCTGGGGCAGTGGGGGGGCTGAGGCCCTTGGCCACACACCTCCAGACACATGCAACCATCCCAGTGACAACCATCAAGCTGAAGCAAGAAGGGCCCTGGGTTCCTGGACTGGGGTGGTGGGAGGTGAGGGCTTTTGCCACACCCACCTGACATTTGTACCCAGCCTGGCAATGACCAAGCCACCGCTGGAAACCCCCTGGTCTCCCCTGTGTGAATATGGGGGGAGCCACAGGCCTCAATCCCGCCCTTCCTCCTTCCTCTTTCTTCCATCACATTTCCTTCCCCTTTCCTCTCTCCCTCTCCCTCCCAACTGCTCCGCAACATTTTAGAATGTAAAAAAATAGTATTAATAAAAAAATTAAAAAAGAAAAAGAAAAAAGTAAAAGGGGATTTAACTTAAAAAATTCAGTTGTTTAACTATATATTTATAGCATACATAATATATATAACAATATATATATATATATATATATATATATATATATATATAAAATACTATAGTTACCATCCAGATAGGCAAAAACTATGAAGTTGCACATGAATGACTAGAGTTTAGAAAACACAGTAGTAGGTGACATATTTTAATTAGTAACACTAAACTTAGGAAACTACCAGGATGTTAGTTTTTTTTAAGACTAAAGACCAAGCCTATACCAGTATAATGGCAAAACATACAGGTGTAAAGTGAAAATTTTTATTTTTTCTCTACCAATGATTTTCAAATTGTGACCCAAGCATCTCTACAGTACTTCAGGGATCCTGCAAAAGACTGATTTACACATAAATACACACATAATTATAATAAATATCTACAATTATCTGCAAAGCTATTACTAAAAAGACAAGAGGCACAGTTCTTGGTCAATATGGTGTACTGAGTACACATTTATATCCTCTCCCTTCTGAGGACCCATTACAATTATAGGGGGGGAAAGACATAATGAAACAGAGACTAGCAGGGGGCCATCTGTAGAAAGATTTCAAAAGATTTCTGGAAAGTGTCCAGTGGACGGATACGTATTAATTGAAAGCAAGAGCTAAGGAAGCTGCTTCCTGGAATACTGGTGTGATGGTCAGAGGTCCTGCCCAGCAGAACAGCAGAGGCTCTACCCCAAAGAAGGTGAGAGGGAGGGGCACAACCTGGGGCTTAATGTGAACAGCTAACTTTCTCATCTCATCCACCCCTAAGAAGAGAATGATTTCCTAGCCCAAGGGTTTAAAAAAACCCAAAAAACCCCAACAAGGTGGGGGTATTTTTCTATAAAGAAATTGTATAAACTGTTAGGGAAGAACTAGAGCAATGATTATCATTGTTTTACAGAAAAAAATTTTTTTTAAATGTGTATTTATCACTTTAATTTTTTAAAAATGCCATTTGGGGCCGGCCCAGTGGATCACTCGGGAGAGTGCGGTGCTGATAACACCAAGGCCACGGGTTCGGATCCCATATAGGGATGGCCGGTTTGCTCACTGGCTGGGCGTGGTGCTGACAACACCAAGTCAAGGGTTAAGATCCCCTTACCGGTCATCTTTAAAAAAAAAAATAAATAAAATAAATAAATAAATAAATAAAAATGCCATTTGTGTTACAGAAAGGAAAAGATCACACACACTGAAATGTTAAAACCCAGTTTTAATACATTGTAAACCACTGATACATTAACTTGCACTGCCAGATTTTTGTACAGACTTCTTGCCATGACTGTGCATTTATTTTTTAATGTTTTTAGCTGCTGGCCAGTATAAGGATCTCAACCCTTGACCCTGGTGTTACAAGGGTGTGCTCTAACCAGCTGAACTACCCAATGTCTGTGCATTTAAATGCACTTCTTATAAATGAATCATTGTTAAGGAAGGTCAAAGCTCTGCCCTGGGCTCTTAAAATTCATCCGTCCATTCTTCTATAGTTGTGCAAGGGAGTACACCTCTACAGCACATGTTCACCACACTCAGATTACCCCAAGACTCAGGCAATAAGGAGTGAATGAATTATAAATCAGGACATTATTTGTGATTTTTTTTTTTTTCTATGTAGGATCCAAACCCGTGGCCTTGGTGTTATCAGCACCGCACTCTCCCGAGTGAGCCATGGGCCGGCCCTTTGTGATTCCACTTTGAAACAAACATTTCCTGATACTCCTCTTTCAAGTTTCTGGATTGAGTTTAACTGCAGAGTATCCAGAGATGGCAAGATAAAGTGTTTGTTTTAAAACCTTTTTGTAATAATTTACTATTCTTCAGCTGGTATCAGTCAGGATTTTTCTCAATACTATGCAACCAAGACAAAACAAAAGAACAAACAGACTACTCAGGCTGACAGAAGACTGCAAATATCCTCCATAACTCCTAATTTCACATTTTCATATGGAAAAATAGCTTCATTTTATCATTCACTATTTTTGTATACAGAATAAATAAAAGTTATAAACCTCAACTTTAACGTACACTTGTGCTAATAAAATGCCATTTTAATTATTTTACATTGGGGTTCCATGGAAATTTCATTTGACAAAATGATTCCCTGTTAAAAAGTTTCATTACCATTGGCCTACACTGTGCAAAAGGCTCAACTATCAGGAAACATCTACATTATGTCACAAAATTGCAGTCTGAAAAATAATCCATTTTTTTCTGTGAAATCAGTTTTTAAGGTGATGGTGACTTGAGATATTTAAACTTAAAATCAGTGGCATTAGGGCCAGCCTGTGGCTCACTCGGGAGAGTGCGGTGCTCATAATACCAAGGCCACGGGTTCGGATCCCTATAACAGAGATGGCCGGTTTGCTCACTGGGTGAGCATGGTGCTGACAACACCAAGTCAAGGGTTAAGATCCCCTTACCGGTCATCTTTTATAAAAAAAA